TGTGTGTGTGTGTGTGTGTGTGTGTGTCTCGCATGAATGGCCAAGGCGGGGGAGAGGAAGGGCAGGGCGGCAGGGAGGGGAGTGTAGAGGATGCCGTGGAAGACACGTGCATCACCCCCAACCTGTATGCGTGGTGAATGGCCGCTGGGGAATACGTGGTCGCTGAGGGCGGTGGGGCATACCCGATCGATGACAGGGAGGGGATCGTAGGAGCCGTGCACATAGGCGAGCAGCGAGGAGAGGTCGAAGAGCACATCGCCGTCTAAAAACATCTCCGCTATCACACACCTGTCAGGGACACGCGTGCAAGGGGAGGGTGGGGTGAGGTGAGGAAGAGAGAATGAGGCAGCAGCGAGGTTCGACCCAAAAGCAGTGCAGATAACAGAAGGGCAGGCATGGGCTAGGTGAGGCCCGGGGAGGAGTTGACTCCAACAGGCATGTGCAGCAGGAATTTACCCTGCCTGCCACCCCTCACACCCATACCCTCACCCTTTTCCTCCGCTGTGCCCTCAGAACTAGCAAGCACAGACACAGGTGACCCTGCATTGCACAGAGCAGCACTCAAACCCGCCAAGAGCAGCACTCACCCTGCGGAGAAAATGTCCATGGCAGGCTGCAGCTGTGCCCCCCCCACTCCGCCCTCCCCTTCGCTTTGCCTCTGCCTCCACTCACTCGCCGACACAAACCGCTGCTATGCCATGCCATAAATTCATGCCATGCCGTACCATGCCATGCCATGTCATGCCATCGATTCACACACAACCCACGGCACATGCATGCAACACCACACCTTCCACGTGAGAACATGTCGATCCAAAGGCACATGCGCCATGTGTGTTGCCGGGGGCATGGCACTGTTAGACAAAGAGCAAAGTACGAGAGCGTGTGCTACAGCTAGACTACTGCTGTCTCACATTTGTACTTGTATTGTTTTGTATTGTTTCAAAAGCAGTTCCCAGGGGTTTTAATGAGGGAGTGACAACGGGGAAAGGGCAAGCCTGGGTTTGGGTGGGTGAGCGGGAGCAGCGTGGATGGAAGGGAGTGGCCGGGAGTGGCCACGGGGGGGCCGCACCTCAGGGGCGATGCAGCAGCGGCGGCGGCCGGAGGGGGCGGTATCAAAGAAGAAGGAGAAGATGGCGGGGTTGTCGGAGGGGACGAGGACGGGCTTGAAGGGCGCCCAGTCCACCACGTGCACCCAGTTCCACGCCGTCACACACACGTTGTCCGCTTTCAGATCGCCTGCCCGCCTCGCCCCCATGCATTGCAATAGAGGAGCATGGGATGAGCGCATGGAGCAGGATGGATCAATTTGCCTTTACTTTCTCTTCTTTTTCTTTACGAAAGGCATTCGTTTTCTTTCTTTTCCACCTTGAATTGCATGGGCGGGGGTGTCAGAGTGAGAAATTGGTATGGAAATGGGGTTGAGCAGAGGGCAAGCAAGCAGACGGCGATGCCATCACGTGCACCGTACAGTGTGTGCTCACTGCTCGACGTGCATGGCGACGGAAGGTAGGTGTGGTGAGGGGGAGGTGTGGATGCGTGAATGAGAGGGAGGTGGCTTTGCAAGCATGCAGATGGTGGCTTTGCAAGCATGCAGATGGTGGCTTTGCAAGCATGCAGATGGTGGCTTTGCAAGCATGCAGATGGTGGCTTTGCAAGCATGCAGATGGTGGCTTTGCAAGCATGCAGATGGTGGCTTTGCAAGCATGCAGATGGGGGGTGGGAGGGCATGAGGCGCATGGAACGAGTGGTGGCACTGACATGAGAGGTGGGGGCAAAGGATAGCAGAACGTCATGAGGGAAATGAGCACTACCAGGAGGGGAATAGCGAGGAAAAAGGCGGGATACGAACAGAGGCAGCGCAGTGAGCGGTAGTGACGAGTGAGGGCGAAGGGCAGGGAAGGGAGGAAGGAGGGGGCGGCGGGGAAGGGCAGGGAAGGGAGGAGGGAGGGGTTGGCGGAGGGCGCACCATGGCAGACCCCTCGTGAGTGCGCCTGGTCCAACGCCTTGAGGATCTGCAGGAGGGGAGAGAGAGGTGAGGTGGGGCGAGAAGGAGGACGGGCAGCGGATGAATGAATAGAAAAATAAAGACTCGTTGTATGATACAGTCTACAGCAAAACTACCTTCTCATGGCTGGAAAGAGCAGCACTTGATCCGACGCACCTGGAAGGCGAGGTCACATGCACGGGAGCAGGGTTACCTGGAAGGCGAGGTCACATGCACGGGAGCAGGGTTACCTGGAAGGCGAGGTCACATGCACGGGAGCAGGGTTACCTGGAAGGCGAGGTCACATGCACGGGAGCAGGGTTACCTGGAAGGCGAGGTCACATGCACGGGAGCAGGGTTACCTGGAAGGCGAGGTCACATGCACGGGAGCAGGGTTACCTGGAAGGCGAGGTCACATGCACGGGAGCAGGGTTACCTGGAAGGCGAGGTCACATGCACGGGAGCAGGGTTACCTGGAAGGCGAGGTCACATGCACGGGAGCAGGGTTACCTGGAAGGCGATCCACTTCTTGAAGGTGAGGCCGAGGAAGGGGCGCGTGCCGAGGCGGTCGTGCAGCGTGCTGAAGAGGTACTGCCTCAGCACATACGCTGCTCTCTCCGTCTCGTACCACTTCTGCCCGAGGCAGGGGGCGGCGGAGCGGACAGACAAGGGGGAGGGGTGAGAGAGAGGACAAGAGAACTGGAAGCAGCGTGGAAGGGAATACGCAAGCGGATGGCAGCGGGGGACGAGGCTGAATCGTCAGAAACGGATTGGTGGAGACGAAGGGTGGGTAGTGGCGGGAGATAAAGACGATGGGACAATGGTGCATGCGGCATGTGGCAGTGGTGGTGCATAAGCGCACCTGGAAGGGCAGGGCGCACGTGGAAGGGCAGGGCGCACCTGGAAGGGCAGGGCGCACCTGGAAGGGCAGGGCGCACCTGGAAGGGCCAGACGTGCGACTTGTCGATGCCTGAGAGGCGATGGCGAATGACCTTCAACTGCTGCTCGTACGCCTGGTAGAGGGGGAAAGACGGGCGGGCGCAGGGGAGGGCACAGGTAAGAGTGCAAGGGCGCATGTAAGGGCGCAGATAAGGTCGCAGGGGACGGCGCAGATAAGGGCGCAGGGGAGAGCGCATGGGAGGGCGCAGCATGGGATGGGATGGGGATAAGGAGGCCATGCAATTGCCGCTGTCAACAGCCGTGGCGAGCGCACGGGGTGCCTGCCCAGCGGCGATGTCGCTTCTTGTGAGGTGGGGAAGGCACTCTAGCCGCTCGAGAGGCACGTGGCGCTGAGGCCTTCCCCGTCATCCACTGTTGCCTTCCCCGAGCGCCGCTCTCTCCCCATAACCCGCTCATTCTCACTCGCCTGCGACGGCAGCTTACGAAACTGCAGCACGGAAAGATTCAATTGCGCCTGTAACGCGGAAGTGGCAGCGGGAAGGCGCGGGGATGACTGGCCTGCAGCGGGAGGTTGAGGTCGGCGCGTTTGAGGAAGACTTTGACGATGACGCGGCCCTCGTGGTGGAAGCAGTCGAGCGTCTTCAGGAAGCGGCCCGGCGCCAACACGTCCTTGAGCACCACGCCGCGCGGCAGGTCGTGCACCCAGTAGTCCGACGCCACGCCCGCCGCCGCCTTCGCGATCACCACCTGGTTACCCATCGCTCATGCGTCGCTCGCTACGACGCCCGCTACGTCCTCGCTACGCTACGTCGCCCGCTACGTTCCTCGCTACGCTATGCCGCCCGCTACGTCAGCGAGGCGATCTTCATGTGGGATGCTGCCTGCTTTCCTGCCTAGACTAAACCGCGGCGAGCCGACGAGACTGTGGCCTTGGATTCGTCGAACTTGATGTTGACAGGAGAAAGCACCCGCATCCGCACTATGGAAAAGATTACAATCCTATGGTCTGCTAGTCTGATATGCAAATTTTCATTCAAATGGTCTGAATCTGAATACGGTATTTGGGTTATTTTGGATTTATTTATGAAGTGATTTTACGAGCCTGATCTAAACAAAGTTACGTGTACGTTGTTGGGCTGAAAAAGCCCTTAGGATCTTTGCAGGGGTGAACTCTGGGTAGAGTTGGTGTAGTAGCGGAAGCGTTAATTAAAGAGTTGTGAACCACCTTGCGCTAGTATGTGAGAGCAAAGTAAGTTGATTGTAACAAAGAGATACAAGAATATATATAAGAGTACAAGGAATACGAAGAGGTACGGTTGTAACTACTTTACTGTTGCTGTTGCGGTTCGATACAGTGTCGACTCGGGCAACTGCTCTGTAGCGAGTCAGTTGTGTGTCCTTGCTGTCGCGCTGTATTCGTCAGGTCAAAGGTCGCTGACCTTTGACTTCCCCGTAACCTCCAGCGGTTGCTTCAACCTCCGAGGGTTGACTCGCCGGTGCTTCGATATGCTCTGCTTCATTTGTGCCTTAGTGTTTCGACACGACAGAGGCGCTTAAGACCGATTGTTTCCAACACTCCCCTTCGCTTCTGGAGTGTCGCTGACATGGCTCTGTCCAGTCAGCAGCATGCAGTACTCAAACTTCTGCTTTCCAAGCTTCTTGGTCAGGTAGTCAGCTGCCATCTCGGACGTGGGGCAGTATGACAGCTCGAGCCTCCCTTTCTCGATCTCGTCCTTCACGAAGAAATATCGCAGGGCGATGTGTTTCGTCCTGTTCGCGAAGCCGCTTTTGTTGGCGATGCGAATTGCCGACTGGTTGTCGCAGAACAGAGTGAAGCTGGGTAACTGAGCCAGCTTCGCTTCTTCCAGCAGTTCGCGAAGGTAAAGTCCTTCCTTGGTGGCTGAACAAAGTGCAATATATTCAGCTTCGGCTGACGAGAGAGCTATTAATTCCTGCTTGCTCGACTGCCAAGAGATAGGTCCGATGGGTTCGAGGCGGTAGATGTAGCCAGTGCGAGAACGCCTGTTGTCGGAATCGCCAGCGTGATCGGCGTCGACGTAGCCGATTAACTTAGGCGGCGTAGTTGCGTTCTTATAATAAGTTAAGCCGATCGTTGAGGTGCTGACGTAGTAGTGAAGAGCGCGGTCGAGCTCCGCCAGATGTTCTGCTTCAGGCTTCTTGAGGTAGGTGGCGAGCTGGCTTGCGGAGTATGAGAGGTCGGGGCGACAGGTGACGGCTGCGAAGAGAAGACATCCCAGCTTCTTCTGGTAGTCTCGTATGCCGGCGGGCTTGAGTAGAGCGGAGCCTTCCTTGTTGTTTCCTGACGTGTAGCGGTATGGCGTGGAGATGGCTGTCGGTGTGAGCGTAAAGCGTTTAGCGATGGTGTCGGCATATTTCTCGGCGCTGAGGTAGATCGCGTCCTCCTCTTCCCGGATGTTGAGGCCGAGGTACTGAGTGACGGTAGATGAAACTGTGAGCGTGAGATCTCGCTGCAGCTCCCCTTCGAACCAGGTAGTGATGCCGTCAGTTGAGCCGATGTAGAGTAGATTGTCTACGTAGACGATTAGTAGGATGTAGTCGCCGTTTTTCGTGAGCCGGTACATGCCTTGATCGTGCGGTAGTTGCTTGAAGCCGATGCGGATGAGGCGAGCGTGCAGGTACTGTTGCCACAGTCGCGGAGCCTGCTTGATGCCGTAGAGTGACTTGAGTAGCTGGCAGACTTGGTTAGGTTCTCTGTGGGAGCCGTGCGGTAGCTCGACGAAAATTTCTGCGTCAACGGGTGCGTAGAGAAAGGCGTTCGCGACATCGATTTGCCGTAGCTTCTTTTTCTTCATGGCGGCGATTGCGAGGAGAATGCGTAGTGAGGTGTGGCGGCTAACCGGAGCGAAAGTTTTGGTGAAGTCGCGTCCGTGTTCTTGGTCGAAGCCGCGCACGACCCATCGTGCCTTGAATTTGTCAATGGTGCCGTCAGCCTTCGTCTTCACGCGGAAGACCCATTTCCCGGTGAGAATGGTCTTGTTCCGTGCTACGCCGATGGGAACTACTTTCCACGTGTTGCGTTCCTCCAGTGCCTTCAGTTCCTTGTCCATGGCTTCGCGCCATTTTTCCTTATGCTCCCCCCCCAGAGCCTGTTGAACTGTCGCAGGCTCTTTAGGAATGGCTGCGCCGTGGACTGCGGTGACGAGACCGAGGATTTGGAGCCCACTCTGTGTGTAGCGAGGGAGTGAAGTATCCTCTGGATAAACTGCTTCGTCTCCCGCTTCTGGATCAGGTGCGAAATTAGGTCCTACGCGTTCTGCTTCGTCGGTGTTGACTTGTGCAGGTGTAACGTAACCGTTGTCGGCGAAGTGGTAAAAGACTTCGGCGTTGTTGCTTTCGCGTGGATTTTCGTCATCCATTGGGACATCGACGGAGCAGTACGGGAGGGGTCCGGCTTCTTCCGAGGCTCCTTCCACGTTCTGCTCGTCCCAGTCAGCTTCGCCTTCTGCCGAAGCGAAGGCTCGGTCTCCACGGAAGCCACCTGTGGGGTCTTGGTTTTCGTCCAGGTTGGCAAGGTACGTTTGCAAGGTGAGCCGCTCGTAGAAAATGACATCACGTGCTGCGACTGTTTCTTTTGTCTCGACGTCGAAAATCTTCCATGCGTTGTAGTGTTTTTCGATGCCCAGGTGTAGTCCCCACTGTGCCCGTTGGGAGAATCGTCCTGCTCGTGCAGATGGAGGTCGGTACTGTACCATGCAGCCGAAGACTCGTAACATTTTTGTGCTGCCCAGTTTTCCTGTCCACAGCAGATGCGGTGATGTGTTGTTCGGTAGTGACGACGAAGAAAGCAAGTTGTGCAGCATCACGGCGTGGTCCATTGCTTCTGGCCACTGGTGAGTGGGTAGCCGCATGCCACGTAACAGTTTCCGCATGGTGTTCTGGAGGGTCCTGTTCATCCTCTTTGCTACACCCTGCTGTTGATGGGCGTAGGGAAGGGAAATGAGCCGCTTGATTCCTCTTTCAGCCAAGTACTGCTTGAACCTCTGTGAGGTGTATTCTCCTCCCCCGTCTGACTGGAAGCTCTTTAGTTTGACGCCCGATTCCCTTTCTGCTACGGGGAGCCAGGCGACGAACGCTTCGAATGCCATATCCTTGCTTGGAAGATTCAGGTGCCAAACGTAACGTGTCGCGGCGTCGATGAACGTGATGGTGTAGTTGTACGTGTTCTGCCCCGGCTCGCGATTGTACAGGATGTCGCTGTACACCTTCTCGAGTGGCGCGTAAGCTGGTGCGCTTGGGTTATGGTGAGACGCGAACGGTCGATGTGGTAAGTCAGCTTCAGGGCAGGTAAAGCACGTTCCGCGTACTCGTTGAAGTTCTCTTCCGTCGGTCAGTAGTAGTGAGTCCTTGTCAAGTACTCCTGCTCTTATCGTATTATTTAAGACTGTGTTGCTTGGGTGTCCCATCCTTGCGTGCCAGGTGCTTTCGTCGGCGCGATGTCCTGGTGATCGTCGGTACAGATCGGAGTTGGAGTAGAAGTTGGCGGTGAAGTTGGCGCTACGATGAACTTCTCGTGGTGCTGGGTGTAGTTGTTGCGCGGGTGTCGGTGGTGTGTCGTCGATGAGGAGCGGTGCCGTTGAAGGACCAGCAATTGGTGTTGACGTTCCTGCTGCTGTCGTTGATGGTTCTGCTACTGCCGATGTTGTCCCTGCTGCTGCCGATGTTGTCTCTGCTGCTGCCAATGTTGTTTCTGCTGCTGCCGATGTTGTCTCTGCTGCTGCTGATGTTGTCTGAATTGTTGCTAACGCCCTTGTTCTTTCTGCCTCAGGGATGGTGTGTGAGTACCAGAAACCGCCAGGACTGAAGTCTGGGTCAAGGTCTGGAGGGTGTGTCCTGTTGGTGAAGTTAACGATGGCGTCGCTGTCGGCGGTGCCAAGATCAGGAACGAAGTCAAGAACGAAGACGTTGTTCTTGAGGACCGCCTTGCCGATGTAGAGTCCTCCTCTCCCGTGACACAGCTTGAATTCTTGGGTGGTGCTGTCTGCTTCGAGGTGAATCCCTTTCGCCATTAGCTGACTGACGCTCAGTAAGTTGTAGCCGAGTCCCTCCGCGATTAGTACCTTTGACATCTGCAGTATAACGTTTGTTTCCCTTGACTGAAGTTGAACTACGCCTTGTCGTCGTGTTCGCAGGTTCTGATTGTTGGCGACTGTGATGACGACTTCGCGTTGAAGTTGGTGTTCTCGTTCAACGAAGCGTCCCGAGGAGCACATGTGCTGTCCGCAGCAACTGTCCAAGAACCATGTGTCCTTTCCGGATGGTTCGCTTTGGGCGATGGCAGCGTATGTCGGGTTTGGCTGAAGTGACTCGCGGCGGGGTGTGGTTTCGTCGAGTTGTTCTTCCGGTGAGTAGTGTGGTGGTGACTCGGTGATGCAGGAGTCACTCAGCTTTGCCATGCAGCTGACGATGTTTCTTGCTCCTTGTGCAGGTTGTCCCGTTGAAGTTGTTGAAGCTTGAACCTGGGTCGTGGGATTTGCTTGCGTTGAGGCGATTTGGCTGCTTGAAGGTCGAAGTTGCCGCTGTGGAGTTGTTGACTGTTGACGATTCGGGCAGTGCGTACGCGGGTGTCCTGAAGTTTTGCAGATGTGGCAAAACGGAGGTACTGGCTTCGGTTGTTGCTGCCGGTTGTTGTTGTTGTTGTTGTTGTAGCGTCGCTGAGTGTGGAACGCGAATTCCGGTGCTGATGTCTTCTTTTTGTGTCGTTCTTCTTGCAGGTCCAT